ATGCACAGTAATGAACACTTAAAACATTCAAATGTGTCAAGCGTAACAGTGCCAGATTTAGCTTTGAGCTCATTTCCATCCGCAGTCCCTCACATAAAACATTTAAGAAAATAAGACACACATTAGGGCAAGATTCTAGCAAAGAATGACCAGATTCTCAGAATTTAAGAAGAAACACGGTCTCCCTTTTGTTGAGCTTGTTATTTCCAAAAAACAATTAGGCAACAACCCTCGACCCCCGTGAACAGGTCTACAAAACAAAGAGTACCACCTGTCGACTGCAATGAATAAACTAATTAAACTAATAAGACACAATATTTGATTTCCATCCCTCAAACAATCCTTTCATCTTTTAGGTCATCCCTCGCACCCCCACAGCTCTGTGAACGCTGTTGTCCGACGCCCTTCATCCGGACCACAGCCCAGCCTTTCCTCTCCGTCTGATAGGAAGATCAAAGCATTTGCTTTTGCACTCAATATCGCAGAATTCTGGTATTCAAATTGGAGGTGATGTCATCCCGTCTCCCCCCCCCCCCCGCTGTCAGTTGCTCGCACTTCTCATGAGCTGCTGGAGGGGAGAGTGTGACCTGTTTCATAACCAGCATCCATAAACATGCAGGAGATGACAGACGAACACAACGAGAAGCTCTTTAGCACTTTGTTTGTATTGCCTGTCTATGAATGCAGCCATTCCCTACTGTGTGATTTCTAACCAATCCTCATACCTCAATGAGAAAATGGCTCATCTGTAAGTGCTTTCCTAAATGACTCCTCTTATGAGCGGTTTATGATCTGGCACACCTTTCGGCAGGACCTTCTGGACGTGCAATAACGCTCAAGGTTTTGCAATGTCAGGTCTGTCCACCACTTTAGTCCACACTTAAGTCTCTCAACAACCATTGGATGGATTACAAGGATATTTGGTGCATCCATTAACAGTCCCAAGAGGATGTTGCCTACTGACTTTGGTGATTCACAGATTTAACTTTGGTGCCAACAGCAGGTTGACATTTTCGATTGTTTTACTGCCATGTCCAGACAACAATGGGGCAGATTGCCATGTTGTTTGGAACAGATATCTATGCTTCTTAGAGGGTCAATCCTATTGAGTGTCCTGATTATCTGACTTTGCCTATAGCGCCACCGGCAAGTGGTGAGTTGTTGTTATGTTGTTGTTATGTTTTGGTGATTAGAATTTCATGGTTTCATTTAAGGAAGAAAATCATAATGCAAACCTTGGTCTCTCATATCAAAATCAGTTGCTTTTTATGCCAGTTCCACTCATATTGAGACCATTTGAGTTAGTTATAGTATATGTATATAGTTAGTATATCACGCTATGTTTTGAATTGGAGTAAAACAGCTTTTATTTGCAACAATAGGTCTCCAGTCAGAACAACAAACAGTGAATATTACTTATTCATAGAATCTTAAATAAACACGTTTACCTTCTTCACAGTGTGCAGTGCACTGGTTCATTGCACACACAACTGGAGTGTGACTATCTCCATGCCATGACCTTCATAAACAGGTCAGCTCGTTCATTAAATGTTTCATGAGCTTCTCACCGACTTAGCTTTATGCAAGAGAAACAGATTACAAAAGCTGTTGAATGATACATGAGTTTATGTTCTGTGTATTCATGTGCAGTATGTGGGTGTGTGTTTGTTTTAGTCCTATACCTCCAGAGTGAGGACATTTCTTTAGGGATTAGAGCTTGGGTTTACAATAAGGTTAGAATTGGTTAAAGAAAATAGGTCATAGTGTTAGCTAGGTGCTAAATATAGATCACAAAAGGTTAAAGCTATGCATTTTGTGCTTATGGTTTTGAAAACATGAAGTTTATGAAGTCAGTGGAGGGTCCCCATGAGCAAAAGGAGTAGTGGTTATTGAAGTGATGTGTGGATGTGTTGACAAAGGATGATGACTCAGACTTTTATACACATATGCCTGCTGTCAGTTTCCTTAAGGATTCTGATGCACAGGAACGTGTTGGCGTGTCTTTGTTTGTACAGTATGTAAATGAGAAGAAAAGAAAGACACACAGCATCATCAGGAGGTTGCACTGGCAGTAAGGCTGCAACTATGATTATCTTCGTAATTAATCCATTAATCCAGGGCGACTGTGGCTGCGAGGGAGTGTGGTCGTCTTTCAACCAGAAGGTTGTGAGTTCGATCCCAGCCCGTGCAGCCAACATGTCGATGTATCCTTGGGCAAGATACTTAAACCTGAGTTGCTCCCGATGGCCAACGGTGTGTGAATGTGTGTGAATGTTAGGTCCTAGTGGTACTGCTCTGTATGAATGGGTGTGAATGGGTGAATGACATGTAGTATGTAAAGCGCTTTGAGGGGTCGTAAAGACTGGATAAAGCGCTATATAAGTACAGTCCATTTACCATTAATCATTTGGTCTATTAAGTGTCAGAAAATATTGCAAAATGTCCATCCTATTTTAGCTGATGGTTTAAATGAATATGTTCCCAAATCCAGAACCCAAAGACAACATTTCATATATGATGATGATGATGATGATGATGATGATGATGATGATGATGATGATGATGATGATGATGATGATGATGATGATGATATAAAACAGACATAGGACCGTTTCTTTAATTTATTTCTGCATACAAAATTTATTTAAATTACATTTCTGGATTTATTTTTCCTGCGTGATTGACTATAGCTGACTAATCATTAAAGCTTGACCTGGCATAGAGTATGTGTACAGGTGTGTGTGTAAGTAAGAGAGAGGCAAGAGGGAAAGCCTTCTTTGTACGTGACACCCATGTCAATTCCCACCCTGTCTCATTGAGGCATGCATGTGCACCTAGCCTCACCTATCTCACAGTTCCCAGCCTGCAGGGGAAGAAAAGCTATACGGGAGACTGACGGTACACAGAGGCTCATATTAACCAGACCATCCTGCTATAATCAATGTCATTTCACAGACATAAAGGTCTATTCCCCTCACCAGTTCCAACCGAATAGCTGTAAACTGACCTTTAACATCCGGATTATAAAACAAGATCTATGGCTCTTGACGAAAACAGAATCGACAACAATTACTAAGCAGATACAGTAATCCAGCTGTCTCCAGATGTTTCACTATAGGACACTGTTGTGCTCTCAGCTGCTTCATCCAAAGTTTATTCTGCACACGATGAGCACAAAATGTACAAAAAGTATGGAAATGAACCTCATCGTTCAAAATGGAATTGCAACATAAATGGCTGTATTGGGGGTAAAAAAAAAAGTCCACGGATCTGACGTTGCAGACGGAGGTCTAACACTTAAAATCTGCTGGAGTCCAGCCTGCCCTTCAGATAGAATGGGGAAAAGAAGTGAGCATGTGTTGATGAAATGAGAGAGATGTGTGTGCACATGCCTTGCTATGTTTGTGTGTGGTGGAGAGATGCAGAGAAAACACTTCTGAATGCTTGCTTCCTCATTCAGGAGGTTGCTTGCAGGGGAAAGGCTGATGCATTTTGGATGTGGTTCAGCTGCATTCCCCATCTACGGGAGACAAGGCTCAATCTGCCAATAAACTCAGAAATAATTCAACTTTGTGTGTGAACGAGAGAGGGGTTGTATAGATAACCCAATAATGTATTTGAGTGTGTATGTTAGCGATTGAAAGGGATCATCCTCAATATGCAAGTTAACATGAAATGTCTCCTGTCCCCCCCCCCCCACACACACACACACACACACACACACACACACACACACACACACACACACACACACACACACACACTGCAATGCACTCAAACACGGCTCACGTATAGGGGCTGTGCAATGTTAAGGAAGACACACTGAAAGAATGACGTAATAGCACATCAGCCCACATATGTGGACGTCGGAGTCTGCACAAGTCAAGGTCATTCATTGATCGAATTAAAGTCACACAGCGAGGCCTGCAGCGAGGCCACCGCCAAGACGCAGGACAACTACATTTGTATTCTGATCTCAGTCAAGATCTCAGCTCGCTGTCTGTACTTGTGTGTGGACACATGAACAGCCACACGTGCTTTTTAAGCAAACTGCAGCTTCAGCTCAGCCATGCAGCCAGCACATGATGGAGATTGTGCTAGAACAACTGGATGCAGACTCAACCATTTAATAATACAAAAATCCATACAGCCCTGAACGAGTGAGTCGTTAACAGCTTTTAACGGGCTGGACTCGTGCCAAACAGTCTGAGTCCCATGTTATTTCCAGGCTGAATTAATTACCAGCCGCTTACCAGAGCTGCCCCTCAGTGACCGGTCCAATAACTGACCACGATAGGTGATCAATGCAAACGATCGGATCGATTCAGTGATTGATTAATTGGCGGCCGTATCTTTGCCCGCCGGGCCGTGAAGGCAGCAGCAGCCCCCTCGCTACGCTGCGCTCGGGTCGATGCGGCCAGACAGAAAGCCGTTTGTCTTTAAAACACCATTATCAAAAGGATGGCAGGCTATTTATTTTCAAATCAGAGGAAAGTCTATTTTAGGTGAGAAATTGCATGAGGGTTACCGTGAGTCACAGCAGCCCTCGCTTTGCCTCGGCATGACTTTCATTACACAATGAAGCTTCATTCACAACATCAGTAATAGCTCCGACGCGCCAGGGGCAAATATCCTCTTCCAGCATTATTTAATCCAGATAAAACAGTTTTGTAGGATTAAAGGGAAGCCTTTTCTTAAATTGGCTTGATTTAATCATCACACATTTTGTTTAGAGGGATGTATTTTTATTTTAAAGCACACGTTTTCTCAGATGCACGCACCGGGGCTAGACGGGACAGTCGGAGGACGTGAGAAAAGCGCAAAGAACCTCTGCGCATTACAAAGAAGGGCTAGCTGTACCCGGGAAGCGCAGTGGAAATTGAATTGTCACACATGGGTAACTTCGGTTGGGTGGCACCTGAAAGCTTAAATACCTGCCAAGTCTCACTGAAGCTTCCATGTAACGTGTTCAAATGCGGAGAGCTCCGGGTGTCACTCACCTAACTTTTGCTGCCACAGAAGAAATCGCATCGTTTCTTAAATTCTTCCTTTTGGATACGGCAGTTCCCATGCTGACATGGAAACGACGCAGGCAGGAAACCCGTTCATTCCAAAGACACGGAGGGAATGCGACAACCAAAACAGTATAAAAACCGCAGCAACAAAAAGAAGGAAAACAAAGTTGGAAATGGGAAATCCTGGAGAAGGTATGTCTCGCACGCGTCTGCAGAGGAAATGATGCAGAAAAGGGAGGAATGTCAGACTTGCTCTCTCTGTGTTTCTCAGGATATGAGCACGTACGTGGGATATAGCTGCACAGCTGTCAGCGTGTGGCTGAAAATACACAGACCTCTCTCTCTCTATTTCTCTCTTTCTCCCTCCCTCATTGATCTGAAAATGCAATGGGAGGGTGGGGGGGGTGGTGATATCACCATCATCATCATCATCATCATCACAGAGGGGGAGGGAGGGACACTGGTGCCATCCACACATAGGAACCTTTGCCTTTCATCTCATCCTTTTTTTGGACCATTACGTATCTATTTGGTTATTGCCTAGTGTTATGTAAACGGTCATTTTGGTAAAAGCCTCTCCCTCTCACACACAAACGTCAAAAATGGTTCTCATCCCCAGCCAAGGACAGATGGAGCATGAAGTTCAGGCGCTGCAGTGCTCTGAGCCCCACATCATATGGCATGAGAACAATAGCTATAGACTGTGAGTTGTTTCTGCTGTTGAATATTTATTTCTCCAAGCCATTGTTATCAGTATTCAAAAGAGTGCAGGAGACTGACAGATCATAAAGGGCAGCTCCTCTGTGGAGCAATGTGAGAGGTTTCCTTCTATAGTCATGGATCTACAATGCTCTTATGCAATTGTGATTGCAAGAGTTGGAATTACTTCTATGTGTTACTAAAGCAGTTGCACACACCTTAATCAGGTCATCATTATTCTCACTTAAATCAATGGATGCATACTATAAAAACCTTTCAGGATGTCTTCAGGCCTTTAGATCTCACATACAAAGGTTAGTACAAAACAATCCATTAAACACTTAAAAATACATAAATTAAACTCGAATGTCAAGGTGAAAGTCCTTAATTTAATGTACAAATGTTTCCTTATCGTGAGTTCTAAAAATTGCAGATTTTTTATTTTTAAGTTCAAGTCTACGTAGAGTTGGTTATGGTTGAGATTTCTTAGATGGGCCAATTTCTGCAGAACATGTAGGAGGAGAATGGCCTCTGTCTGAAAATGTGCCACATAAATAAATGTACCTTAGCTTAGAGTATGATTGTATCTATTGCTGCAGATGCTTTCTTTGCTCCTTTTGTGCGAATGTAGAACACAATATAAAAGACAAACATGGTTATATCAAACAGATACAGTGCATCCGGAAAGTATTCATATCCTTCACTTTTTCCACATTTTGTTATGTTACAGCCATATTTCAAAATGGATTAAATGTTTGGTTTTTCAACATTCTAGACACAATACCATTACCCCATAATAAAAGTTTTTAAATAATTTTTGCAAATGAATTAAAAAAAAAATTATTATATCACATGTGCATAAGTATTCACAACCTTAACTCAATACTTTTTTGAAGCACCTTTGGCAGAAATTACAGCCTCAAGTCTTCTTGAGTATGATGCTACACGCTTGGCACACCTATCTTTGGGCAGTTTCTCCCATTCTTCTTTGCAGATCGTCTCAAGCTCCATCAGGTTGGATGGGGAGCGTCGGTGCACAGCCATTTTCAGATCTCTCCAGAGATATTCAATCGGGTTCAAGTCTGGGCTCTGGTTGAGGCACTCAAGAACATTCACAGACTTGTCCTGAAGCCACTCCTTTGTTATCGTGGCTGTGTGTTTAGGGTCATTGTCCTGTTGAAAGGTGAACCACGCCCCAGTCTGAGGGCCAGAGCGCTCTGGAGCAGGTTTTCATCAAGGATCTCTTTGTACATTGCTGCATTCATCTTTCCCTTGATCCTGACTAGGACCATCGGGTTCTTGGTCAGCTCTCTGACTAAGGTCCTTCTCACCCGATGTTCAGTTTGGTTTGGGCAGCAAGCTCTAGGAAGAGCCCTGGTGGTTTCAAACATCTTCCATTTGCAAATGATGGAGAGCACTGTGCTCGTTGGGACGTTCAATGCTGCAGACATTTTTCTGTACCCTTCCCCAGATCTGTGCCTTGATACAATCCTGTCTTTGAGGTCTACAGTCAATTCCTTGGACTTCATGACTTGGTTTGTGCTCTGATGTGCACTGTCAATTGTGGGACCTCATATAGACAGGTGGGTTCCTTTCCAAGTCATGTCCAATCAATTGAATTGACCACAGGTGGACTCCAATCAAGTTATAGAAACATTTCAAGGATGATCAGTGGAAACGGGATGCGCCTGAGCTCAATGTTCAGTGTCAAAGCAAAGGGTGTGAATACTTATGTACATGTGATATTTCATTTGATTATTTTTAACACGTTTGCAAACAATTCCTTAAAAACGTTTTCACTTTGTCATTATGGGGTATTGTGTGTGGAATATTGAGAAACAAAATGAATTTAATCCATTTTGAAATAAGGCTGTAACATAACAAAATGTGAAAAAAGTTAAGGGGTATGAATACTTTCCAGATGCACTGTATATTATTTACAGAAACCAACACTATGTGCAGACATTTTCATGTCAAACTGTGCGATACAACTTGATTTTCTTCCTTTTATTTAAAGAATCAATGTTGGCATGATTCCCAGCGGTATAGAAAATGTGTTAGCTCCCACTGCTCAGAGATAATTAATCACTTGTCATTGATTGAAGATAATTAGTGGTTCACACACACCCACACACACCCAAACACACACATGTTGGCACATGCACACATCAACTTATAGAAGCACAGGTACCAGACAGATCCCCCAGTAACGCACGACTAGCCTTCAAACATCAAACCAGTCAGTCTTTCAATAAACGGGTCATTTTACCAGCAGCTCCAGTGTGCAGGATGTCCTTGAGCTTTATATCTTTTAAAATGTGCTTGTCCTGCGCACACACACACAGTCGCTGCACACACACACAAACACACACACACACACACACACACATACTAAGACAAAAGGAATGAAAATCAATAAATAAAGCAAAGCCCCAATGGGCTTTTGTGAGCGGCTGTAGGCCATTAAGCAGTAAATAATTCCAGGCAGCTCTGACGAGACTGAGGTGAGCGTGTGTGGATGGACTGTAGATGAGCAGTGGAGATGGAGGGAGGGATGAATGAAATGAGGGAGGAAAGGACGGTGGAGCTCCTTCAAAGAGACAAACAAAATGTGAGATGATGGAAAGGGGAGGGATGAATGGACGGCAGGGATCCAAAACAGAAAGGCGAGCAGAGTAGGGACAGCATGCAGGGGAATACAGCGAGGACGAGAGACACGGGGATGAAAGAAAGCGTCGATTTCAGGTTTTTCATTCTAAAAAACGAGTGCCGCTGTCTGCCACCAACAAGCAATGCAGCTGTCATACAATGTGCTTTAAAGGGTTGTGGGTGCAACTAAATAGATGAAAGGCAATGAAAATGGGAGGACAAGGAAGACATGCAGCCATAAATCCACATCTGCCCAACATATTAGTGTCTCCTCTGACCCTGACAAGCACTCACCAGATGATTGATGGCTAAGCAGATCAATATTTGAGTCGCAGCAGTTACAAGAGCAGCCAGCCAAGTGGCCCGAGAGTCCCTCTCATTGATGGGACTGGCTTTACATGCTCAATCAGATTCTCCACAAATACTGATGTCGTTTCCCAATGAAAATCATTCAGTATTAATGAACATCAAACCCAATTCGACAAACCAAATGTCATTTGATATTTCAAGTAAAATGTAACTTGTCTAATGTACAATTGGCCCACTGATGGAATTTGCTTTGTATATAAATATACCAATAAATCAATTTTGGCAAAGTCACTTAATTGGTCAATCACATAAATGCAAGTTCACATTCCTGATGGATTCTTTTTAAGCATAAACCGTATTCACAACCTTATTCCTCTCCCAAAAATAGTTGTTGGGGCATTGCTGTAGACTCTTAGGCCTCTTGTAACTTTCCCAAGTGATACAAATTATCCCTATTTTTATTTCAGCATTATCTAACTTGTGCAGTCTCAACACATTTCGCGGCCACATGCTATCAGCCCTTTTATCTGAAACTTAATCACTCCATCTGTCAGTGAGAAAATGTGTGCAAACCAGCTGATAAAAATACCATCAGAACTTTGGTGACACGGCTGAAGAAGAGGAGAGAAAGTGTGAACATGAATTGTGAAATGTTCCTCCGAGGCAGTCCAGATATGTATTCAGAACACGTAAAGGCAAACTTGTAAGAAAGCCATGCAGCGAGCAGCCTGCCCTATTTCTGGAGACTTTGAGGAATTTTTAGGATAAAGTTGGGGAACGGGGTTGATAAAGTGTGTGAAATGGATGGGGAGTATAGTAAAGCTTAAGAGTGGATTAAGACTCTTAAAGCTTGCAAGACGTTAAGTGAGATGATATTAAACGTTGATACCGTCCCAATGGGATGTTCATATCACTGAACTCTTTTAAAGTCCTTGTTTCTTTAAATATATGGTTTAATTTGAGGAGGAGGATTTAGACAGTGGAACTCGCATTAAAGAATAATGCTTCCCATTGGTAATAAACTTTGACAGGGCATTATAATCTCATTTGCTACATTTGAACGGCTTAATTAAGACCATTAGGGAGAATAGTTACACAAAGCTTCATAGACAAATATTTCATAAGCTTTTTCAATTAACATTGTCTGTTAAAGACAGAATACACTTTTCAGAATCAGAATCAAAAACAGGTTTATTACCAGTTTTCACTTAGGAGGAACTTGACTAGGTGTCGTGGTGCATACATAAAAGTAAAACAACAATTAAAAAACAGATATAGAACTAGAAAAAATATAAATATAACAGTATTTACATTGCAATGGAATGAAATATGGATTAAAAAATAAATAAAAAATCGGCAGTAATAAGAAAAGAAAACAGATATTGTTGAACATTATGTGCATTCATGTAATGCATATGTCACTTGAGATATTATTTCCTTAGGTGTCCATTTTCCTAAAAAGTGATTTTACTGGTAGGATTGTTACGCTTGTGTTTGAGTAGTGTCTCTGGCTTTAAGATGCACTTACTGTTATACATTTGGAACTTTGGTGGACAACATTAGACATCTAATAAATAGATTCAGCATTAACTAGATGCATTTCAACAAACTTCCTAATTCCCTTATAATTTATCCTAATGATTCATGACCTATCCATGATTAGGCCAAGATTTATATTTGTCCAATCATAT